TAGCTTATATTACATTTTATTCTAGACAGGACACAGAAATTCTCAGTGCGTAGAAGACACTTTGCACCATCCTTCCAAAATGATTAACAACTCCTTTGGAGGCATTTACCATCCTGCTACAACCAACCAAAGCATTCTTCCACACATGCCTTCTTTCCTGTAGCCAATTCAGTCAATTTTAGAAAACAGTATTCTGCAAGGAAGCGTACGGTATCAGGGTTCAATAAAACAACTGTCATTCCACGGCACTCGAGGCACAGTCCACAAACCCGTGTGTTACAAGAGAGCTGATGCTTAGCACCACTTTAACATTCACATTCTAGGCATTAAGCCATAAGACAGCAGAATTGCCTATGTGATTTATGCACTCTCTACAACCACTAATATCCACTAGGTATTTAGTACCCTTTCTCTCTCCAGGTATTTAGTACCCTTTCTCTCTCCCTTCCTCTTTCACTTTCTGCCCAAACTCAGTTTGAGAAAAGAAACTGCCACTTGGATCAAATCCAAATTGTGAGGCTCTTTTCAAAAAGAAATGCCTGTTGCTTTTCAAGAAACCCCAGTGTATTTTCAGGAATGTCTTCGGCAGGAAATACAGGCCAAATTCCATGCTGAAACATGCACATACCCACCCTGCCCATGACTGCTCTTGGAGCTGAGCATGCACAGCCCAGGGCAGAATTTGGCCTGAATTGTGAATTCAGTAATGGAAGCCAACATCAACTCAACACAGCCCACACAGATCCTTGGACAGCAAAAAAAGTTCACTTAAAGAGGGAATACTATCCCCAGCTCTAAGGATTTTTCCAGCTTCTTCAGCAAAGAACAGGAGAAAGAGAAGATGAGACTGCGGGGCTCTTTTGGGCTTCTATCAAAGCCAAAGAGATGTGATCATTAGGTAGAAGCAAGTCGCTCCTGTAGAAGCAGACTCCTTACTTGCCAGAATAGAATTTCTGAGTCGATGTTAGGTGTGAGCACAAATCATCACATGAAATTTAAATTTAGACGCTTCCAACATACGGCAGAAGTCAGACCAGTGAAGCAGTTGCAAGCACAGGGGGTTTCCTCCTGCCCGTGTGGGCACTGCAATCCATGCCACCTGCCCAAAACGCTCCCGGGATAGTATCAGAATGACAAGGATTTATTGGTTTAAGTAAAACTAAGAGATGCAGAAGACTTTGGGGCCCTTAGAAATATTCCTTATAATTCTCAATAGCAAATACTTTAAATACAAAATCTGGTTCTGAAAAGCTACTGCCTATGAGGGAGGAGGGAGAAATCAAAGAGCAGTTCAAGCATCAGTCTCTTACACAGTGAAGGGCAGAATGGCCCTGCTGCAGCTAACTGGCTGTTTAAAGGTGACAGGTTGAGCTCTTCTAGTTGTAATTTATATCTTGGCAACAGAACCAGTGTCTTATTCCCAACCATTAAAAGGGGTAACACATCTGCTAAACCTCTAGCACAATGGCTGGCTTTGCACTGCAACAGGAAATGTAACCCAATAGTCTCAGAACTTCCACAAACCCTAGCCGTCCCTTAATGCGAAAGGATTTGAGAATTCAGTTCACTGAAACATCTGTTAAGCTCTTGCTGCTCTAACACACGATACTCTTTCTGCTCTGTTATCTGCCAACAAAAATGTTTGGTTCTATGTAAGAGTCTCACAAGTGTGTGATAATGGCACTCTGCTTCCAATTTTGTATGCCGTTGTACCTTCCCAAAATCACCTGGGAGTGACACCAGATAGCATACTCCATGTAAGCTCAACACTTACTATAAAGTATTTCATTTTAATCTTGTATGCAAATAGTAACTAATCAGATAGGTTCTGAATGACTAACAATAATTTAAAGCAAGAGGAACAACTTAGTCAAAATGTTCTTGAGCCAAGTTTCAAGGAGAGAAAAGGAGAGATAAAGAGAAGGGCAAAAAGAGGGTGAAAGAGCACAAGAGAGGTAAAAAGAAATAAAAAGAAGGGAAACAGCAGCTAAGCATGTGCGTGGCCTACGCACTAACTGCAAGCTTCTCTTCCAACCTGTTTTTTACAGCAGCTGCTTGTTTCAATTTACATTTAGTTATACCATAAGCATCTCCAGTTGACCAAGTAGAGACAGAGCGGTAGGTGGAAGAGAGGCCCTTTGAACATTAGTAGAGTTACAGTTACTACAATAATAAATGGTAATTTATTTGCAACTATTACTTTCTACAAAAAAATACTTGTTCTCCCTTTCTGTCTAGCAAATCCTTGCAGATTTACATCTTGAAAAGAGGTGGGTGGGAAAAAGGAATAGTCTGTCAGCTTCCAGTGCTCTACTTAACAGAAGGATTTCCTGGATAGCTACAACCATCAGTGATTTAAATATTGTGTTATGCTTCAACATTCAAGAACTGAAGCACACATTAAAAAAAATATGATTCCTCATTGTAGGGAAATTACTAAAATGTTATGATTTCTAGTAAACTTTAAATAGATGATTCTGTAAGTACCACAGAAAATGATGACAAATAAGTCAAAGGCAGGAAGACTAATTTCTCAGTAGAAACATGCATCCAGGACACAACTTCATCATTATATTGTTCTGGATAAAGCTAGTAGGTAAACATCTGTATTTTCTAATTTTCTCCTGCACCTAGCTTCAAAAGTTTCCAAAGGAGCTGAAACTCTGAGTGACAGTCTCAAATATCCACCATTCTCAGAATATCCAGTAAGGCATGTTCAGTATCTTGAGCAAAACACTCAACTCTGAGGTGAGCTGCCACTACAGTACTGAGGGGACACCCACAAAAAGATCCTCAACAAAGTCTATTCCAGGTTTGTGACAGCACAATCCCTAAAAAAGGAGAAGCAGGAAATCCTTTGCTCCCTACACATCTTAAGACAGAAAACTCTTTGATGATGCTGAGAATTTCAGCTCAGCTTGTCTGCATACCCAGGAAGGGGCACCTTTCTAGTTTTATCAGCAATCGAAACACTGGGAAGGCTCAGGAGAACATAACAATTCGCCCGAGTTACAAAGCTGATGCTTAGCCTCAACCCACACCCTCCATCAGAACGTTCGAACCACCTCAGTGCAATACACACAAACACGAAGGACTTACTCAAGTGCTTGGACTTGGACTAGAGTGCCCTATGATTCAGCGAGGATATTTTTTGCGCTGTATTTTGTATTCGCTTTTATGTACCACCCATAAATAAATAGATACTATAAAACATCTATCTGTTTTCAAGAACTGAAAATGAACTTCAGTGTTTTATTTTGTTCCTTAGAGGATGAGATTATCCAAGCAACAAACACAAAAGGTTCCTTTGTGAAAATACGTCAGAGCAAATAAAACTAACAATTCATAAAAGTCCCAAAAAACTGGATCCTTTTCATGGGACGTTGATAATATTCACTTACCTACCCTCAGGAGAACTTCAAGAATTTGTTTTACAAACCATCCCTAGCACGGCAGATGCTAGGGATATGATTTTAAAGGTCCTGGTCAAAAAAACATACTCTTGAAAGATATTATTACTTGTCCCAGCATGCCAGAACACTCACTCACCAATCTCGTGGACATAAATAGGTTTTGCATGTGTGCAGGCTGCAGGCAGAGGGTAGAGGTGTGAAGACTCTCCGACTGACAGACACAGGGTCAGCGCACCACACTAGAGTGTGTGTGCTTTTGCTCCATGGGTCTTACAGAACATACCATATCGTTCAAGAAGCTGCTCTTTTTTGGATGTGTAAGCACAGTTTTAACTGCTCTAAGAAGTGTTTTCCACTTACCTTAGCCCAGTATAAATTAATTATCTCCATTATAATTAAATGTACAAGCAAACTTTTTTGTGCAGCCACACATACAAGTTCATACCGCTGCTTTGCTCAGCTGCTACAGGTTATGTGGTAGACTAACCTACTTAAGGACCGATCCCTCTGCTCAGCAATTCCTTCTCTGCTCTTTTTCAAATAAAACCAACTAATTCGGCCTGTATCGCCAGCTCAGAGAGACAGTGAGCTATGCTACACCACAACTACTCATCAGTTGTGAAGTCCCCTTTAAAAGGGGCCTAGTTTGGACTTGAACAACTTGCCAAAACTACCTGAGTTCTGCAAAGGTATGAAGCTTTTCATTTCCCTTATTCGTACCTACAGACATTCAAGGGAGACTCTCTCCCTGCTCCCCTTCTGGAAATACCTTTCTTTGTCACTGAGAAAGAGTTGATAAGCCTAAAGGAAGCCAGTTCTCAATGAAGTAAAAGTCATCCGCTGCCTAAAAAAAGGGCTTTGGACTACTCATAAATGGCCTGGGTGAGAGGTTCAAGGGGACAGAGTAACCCCTCCAAGAGCTGGAGTGGCTGCAAATTCTTACAGAAGGAAGCCTCATACTGCTGGCTATGAAAGAACTGTGCAGCCTTTCCTTAGGTCATGGTCCCAGTCCAAATCCAATGGACACAAAGGGAAAACACCCATTGCCTTCAGCGCTTTGTCACAATCAAGAAAATTGTTGGGTTGTTGGTTTTTTGGTTGTTTTTTTTTTTTTTTAAATATGAATGAAGGTGCTTTTACGACTGAAAGCACTTTCCCTCAGCCATCAATAATGTCTGTAGTATCTCCTCTAACTAGGGCATCTGTTTACATAAAAAATCCAGTCAAGCATATTCCACTTAAAAACCAAAGCAGTTTTTTTGATGTTTTATGTATACCGAGCAGAGAAATAACTCTAAACTACCCCACACCTAAGACGCACAACTACCTTAATCACAGTGAAAATCACGTATTCAAACAAGGAAGTCATGCACTCCACCCAACAAGGTATCCGTACTGAAGATTGACAAAGTTAATCTAAAATGGTTGAAGAATCCTCTTCTAGAGCGCTACCTTGGCAGGATGGCTGTTATTAAATCAGTAGTAATAAAAGGCAGTAGGTCAAAGAAGATACATACATCTGGATTTTTATAACTTTCCTGATTTGAAAAAAGAAGATGTGTAAAATACTGTAAGTCATTCACTTACCATGGACTTGGTGAAAGGTCGAGCCAAGGTAAAGAGCAGGGTATACACCCACCAGTTACGATGAATGGAGGAGTAAATCATATTTCCAGGATGGACTGCATTAGATGTCACCCCGTGGGGAGAAAGGCGTCGGTTCAGCTCGTTGGAGAACAGTACATTGCAAAGCTTGGAACGATTGTAGGCCAACATAGCCCAGTACTCCTTCTTAGATGGGGAAAGCAGGCTGAAATCAAGTTTTCCGGAGGAGTCTTTAATATCTGTAAATCTAAAAAACAGTAAATATGCCTTAGATACCCCAGAGTTAATTTTGCTTTCATTGAGCACAACATAAAATGTAGACAACAGAGTAGAACCTGGCCAGAACCAACATAAAGCAATGGCTTCTTTAGCAGCTGAAAGCATCTACTGGAAACTGCCTGAGACCCAAGGAATAGTCACATATACTATGGCAGGAAACTTACTGAATAATTAGCAAAAGCAAATGATAAATAAAAACAACTCCAAAAAGGCTTTAATCATTTAAAGGCATCGCACGTAACATACGAGTCCCTTTATTTTAATTCCAAAAAAAAAAAGATTTTGCTGCAGATCCATGAAAGCACAACCAGCTTGGAGGAAATAGCATAGGATAAAATAACTGTGCATTAGAAGCAGAGAAACCCAGCACCCCTTCATTTCCCCTTCTTCCCTTCCCCCGATTACTGCATCCAGCGTTCACATACCGCACACTTTCATTTAAGTGTTTCAGTAACTGTGGGTGAGTCTCCCTGCCTCTTGGACTCTTTTTTAGATTAAAAATTGATGAATATAAAGGGGTTATAACCTTGGTAACTTGCCATCAATAGTCTTATATGTTTAAAAGATAAATGTAAACAAAGCCAAAATGAGTTCTGGCAGAGTATAATGTTTTTAAGTATACCCATGGCATGGCTGAACACAAATCAAAGTAACTAGTTGATGTTTTTTAATTGGGTCTGACAGAGTCATTAAACACCAGCTGTTTGTTTCTTTCCTTCTTTTTTTTGATTTTTTTGTTGTTTTGTTTTAATAACAAAGTAGTGAATGTTCTAAAGACAATTTATATGAAGGAAAGAAAAGTTTCCATACAGCACTGTTCCTCCCAGTTCCTACAATTTTTCTAATTTACTGGTATATCTTAATATTAGAAAATAATACTACATTTAATTACAGATCTATGTTTCATTCAGAAGAGCTACTAAAAATAAAAAGGATTTAGCAAGCTCTTTTTAATACTCTGACTTTTCAGAATCAGCTGGGGAGAACAGGGATAAACATAATTACAGTGCACACTAGAAAAATGTTTTAAAATATCTTTACTAATTTTGTATCTCATGCCCAGAAATGAAGAGATCAGCTGGAATTTGTACATTCACTCTGTGAGCAGAATTATAATACAGTCAGAGAGAAGCAACTGCGGTATTTGAACTCAAGAGGAATCCAGGATGTTCTGTATCTTGCAGAATTAGCCCTGTAATTTCAACAACAGAATTTCTCAGTCATAATTTTCGGTTAGCTAAAATACACTTCTGAATTAACAGGACTATTCTGGGAGGAATTTCCTATATTCATTCCACGAGTAATCATTTATGACACCAAAAATAATCTATAAATAAAACACTTGGTGTATACTGCATAACATAAACATGGTGGCTATTTTGAGTCCAGTCCTGCAAGTGTGCTCACGTGAGCCAACCTCACTTATATCCCAGTCTCACTCAATTCGGCAGGATAAGGGCTGTACAATCGAATTAACAACACAGAAATAAAGACAGAAGGAAAGTCAACCTACTTCTTATTATGATTTTAATATGATGTGCTTAAAGTACCCAAAAGCTTAATTTAAACAGAATTCATTTGTGCTGAATCCAGAGAAGTAGCTGGAAGTGAACGAAGAACCAGAGAGGCAAATGAATATTTTGCCTTGGAGCAGTCTAGTGTAATATTTTCTGCAAACACGGGACTTTATTTTTCCCCTAACAGGGGGTCTTGACTCCAGCAAAAAGATCCAGCCAAGGTTTATGGCAGTAATTAGATACCAACACTTCTGGTTTACAACACAGTTTAAGGCTTGGAGCTCCTAAGTAGGTCAGAAAGTACTACTACCCAGTAATACCTCCGCTCTAAAGCAACTCCTTACATCAACTCCTTGCCATTAAACAGACGAGGGGAGGACAGTTATTCCCCACGATCAGGTTAAGTGCGTAGATATGCCATAATACACAAACTGGACCCCTTAGAAAAAGGGAAATTTAGTAGTTGCATTTATTATTTTATTCAAACACAGACTGTTACTTATTTTTTTGATGGTCTTCTATAAAGCTTGGGTGATCTTACTGAGTTAGCAATGTGCTCTTTGAAACGTGTTTTTGAAAACCCAGATGAAGATGCCCAGAGCTGAGAGCTGTAGTTACACACAGCACTTAATGCAGTGAAAAACAAAGGTGTCATTTAAAATACTAGCAGAGATACAAACTTACAAAGGGGAACGAGCAGCTGACAATTCAACATAATCTCCCATTAAATAACAGCTCGTTTATACGTATCCCATTGTGCCCTCCACATCTGGCAAGTGATTGGAGTTGGCAGATTTATTTCTGGAGCTATCTTGCCTGCCCCGCAGTACCCTCCATCGCTCCTCACAGGACTCTGCTACTTGCTTTCACAAACCTGGTGTGATTTGCAAAGATAAGGACGCCCAGATTTTGTTACCACCTAATTACTAGACATTTCATGTCTTTTAACACCGGGGAGGATTATTACTGGCATTTTCTATTGCTTCCTTTCATTTCAGCCATCATAAATTTAAAATGGTAAAAGTAAATCTATCTGCAGTGTGTCATTTATACCATAAGCCCCTGTGTTTGGTAGTGATAAAGGTTTCAGCCCGACCCTTGGCTGGTCTCTCTCCACCAGGTCCCTGGGGTTACATTTTATGGAAACATGATTAAAAAAATAAGCTTCATTCTGGGTCACTAAAACATTTCAGAAATACGAAGGCAGAAAATATGGTTTGCTAGAGCTGTTACGCACGACCAAAAGTGAAATAGAATCAACAGTCATGTTTAAAGCTGGACATCAGAGGGCTAATCCTGCAGTCCCTGAACTAAATCAGAAGGCAGTAAATGGTCTGTGCCCACTAAAATCCAGAATTGGGGCACGAATTTTGCACAAGGAACTTTATTTAAATCAAATCCATCTTTTCAGTTATTAATGCAAACACCACAAGCATGTCTGAAACAAGGCAAGCCTCATCAACGGCGTCTTTCCCAACTTCTCCCGGCAGTGGAAAAGAGGAGCATCTAACATTTTTAATTAAAAAATTCACCAAAAGAGGCATGGCCGGATTCCTAATATGTATTAACTACACTACTTCCCATTTTGCAATTATACAGCTAATGTCTGCATTGAATTCCCTAATTTCTCATTATAAAACAATTGGATTTCATCTAGCAGTTTTTAATTGCATTGTTTCTCCTGCTAAAATAACTGCACATTCTTCTCGGTAGGATGTTGAAGTTGTTGAATGACAAATCAATACAGGTCATGCCATTCAGATTTAATCAATTATTATTCCATCTCCTCATAAAATCAATGAGTGGTCTGAAATGCAGCAAAAATCTGCATTCATACAAAGAATGATCAAAAAATACCTACGTACGGTTGTAAAACTAGAACACACTTTATCCAGCCATAGAGCCAAATCCAGTAACATCCACAGGCATTAGTAACGCTTCTAATTTCAAACAGATTATTCAAACACAAATGCTTTAGAGCAAGGCCTTTCGTTTTCTAAAACTTCTGCAGTTCTGCTGTAACTGTTTTATGCTCTAAGGATTAAAGATTTCAGCTACATCAAAGGCAACATCCACCAACCTGTGAGATTCGGAGGAGACCATCACCACCCTCGCAGGAGACGACTGGCGTAAAACATCTTCCAGAAGCTGGACGAGATAGAAATGTCCCAGGTGGTTCACCTGGAAGGTGGACTCCAGGTCATCCTCCGTCAAGCACCAGGGAGCGCCGAACACAGCAGCGTTGCCGATCAGAATGTGAAGAGGCCTGAACAGTCAGAAGTGTTGAATAAAATCCAATCAGGGTAAAGAAACAGCAGCAAAATGCACATAACTACATTCCCTACTTTAGTAACTACTGAATTTCATCTTCCAGCCCTCTGGGAAGTTACCGATGTAGTCTGCTTTAATAAGAAGTCAACAATCCAATACCTGTACCCCTGCCAAATTGGAAGAATTCAACCAACAGCTTCCGAAGCGGCACGGAACATCGGGGTACTTCGGGAAGCTTTGTTTGCTGAGTGCTGAATTTCTGATTCGCCTTTTGCTCAGGGACACTTACTCGTATAATACCTTCACATACACACAACACCCGCAAAAGAACCTGAAGATAAAGGGGGACTGTCCTTTTAAAGGCAAGGTTCTCTCTTTCTCTTCAAACCAACTTGCAAACAGGCAGTTCTTTCTTCCACCTTCACAGCCTCACCCAACAGAGCGCACGTGGACTCTTTACTAGGATATGCAGGATCATATTTTGAAAAGGTACTGGATCTTTTGAGGCATATTTTATCAAAACAGTTTAAACCTGAGTACATTTTGTTGTCTGAGATGCATTTGCCAAGAGGAAAACAAAGCTTGAGAGTGCATGTGTGGAAAATTTGGATGATTCATCATCTCTGCTGAAAATTTATGAAAAGCTCTAGCAAGAATTCATTTACAGATTTGTAAATCTGCTGGGAAAAAGGAACAAGTTTCTTCAGCACAGATTCAGTTTTTGGTAGAAGAGCCTCCTGTTTGGGAACTGAAGCGTGAGTACAGCAGTAACACAGAAAGCGTCATCACCGTTCCATTCAAAAGCCAATATGGCACTTTGTAAAAGATCCTAATTCCACCTGATAATCGTCATATGTCCCATGAAGTAACAGGCCACAGTAAGACAAAAAGGACTCACATAGGAACCAGAACTCTACTCCACCTATCCAAATTGTAGCATACTTCGTTAATACCAATTACACAATAACTACCAAAGGCAAAATGCACACTCTATACCTGAATCTGTCCGCTCAATTAATTAAAAAAATGATTCTAGAATTATAAAACTATAAAATGTAGTCACTTTTAAATTGTCAAGGCATTTAATTAGGCATCAGTCCTTTTCATGAGATTTCTGTTTTTAAACAGTATTTTGTTCTAATTTTTTTAAGTAGAAGTAATTAATTTTAAAGAGACCATAAAGTTGAAAGTATTTACAGTATTATATTAGAAAAATCTGTGAAATTAAATTAAATACAGAGACATTTTAAACTCATATCACTAAGAAGGTAATAGCAGATTCCCTTTCAGCATTCCTTTATTTTTAATTATCATTAGTGGCTTTAAATGGTTTAAAAATTATTTCTCACACCACAGAAAACAAACCCATTGCTGCGACCTACATTAGGCTTTCTCCTGAGCCCAAAGGAAAAAAGCCAAAATGCCCCCCCAGTTTAAAATAGTTTGTAATTCTCCATCAAAGGCCAACAAAAAATGTCAGCAGCAAAGGGAAACTTTCTTTAGGTTTACTCCTGGTATCAACATGACCAAGCTGCTCGCTCTAACCCTGACACCTATCTGACATTTTGGAAGCGCTGTACAGTTAAAACCTTGCAGTGTTTTGAAAATTCACCCCCATGTGTCCTTAAAATGTCTTCAGTGACCTGCATCCCACCTAGTGAGTTAACGTGGGCTACCAGCACAAGGTACTTGTGCACTGGGACCTGAAATGAGCTGCTCCAGCATGGCACGAAGTCACGGTCTCCTTCGGAGCATGACTGAGACTCAGGAACGCGCTGCTCTAACTGCGAGCTATACAGCAACCCTAGAAAACTCTCACCATGCTGCTGAGCATAGCTACAATCCAGTGCAAGTTAAAACGCATGTAGAATTAGCAAGGACGTTCTTAAGCGTGAACATTTCAGCTGAAAACCATCTAGCGCCTTGTGCACATCACAAGCTGTGATACGTTACGGACCCTTGCACTGGGCAAGTCACCCAGCCCTTATACGCTGTGCTCAATTCACCATTAGAAGCAACAAAGCAGTCCAACTGCTCTGCACTATCTGAAAACACAGTACGTGACCACATTAGAGATACAAAACTACGTTGCTGCTATAAATCAGTTCGTTAGGAAATTTGATAATCAATTTGTTAGCACCTGATGTAAAACTGCGATCTGTCAGCAGCCTCTCAAGCTGGCCGTGTGCAGCCTTAGAGATTTCCAAGGGAATTAATTACCGATGATTTGCAAAGGTAAGAACAATATTTTTCAACAAGCGTAGCCTGTGCACTAGGAGGTTAAACAAACACCACCAAAATGTCAACAGAGTTCTCTGCTTTGGTGTTCTCCCAGTTCAAACGTAACGAAATAGTTAACCAGAAATTATGCAAAGGGAATACTTTCAAATCTTCCCATGAAGCAGAATGTCACACCATCTGGGGCACTTCTCAAGTGATTTGGAAAGTTCACACTGTTTGGAATTACAGAGAAGTTCAACAGAAAAGGCCTCGCCGTACCCCCGAAGTCCCATAAGCAACTGCAGACCCATGTCACGGCCAGGAAAGGCGGCAGAGTTGTGACTTCTCTTCCACAAAGAAGCAAAGTCACAGCCCACCGAACTTTTCCACCCCGGAACTCTGAACACCCACACTGCTGTCTCTGGAAGTTAGAAAACGCTACTTCCCTCCGTGCAGGAACGCCTTCGGTCACCCAGGAAACAACCAGCACGCAGGGTAGGCTTACGGCTCTCAGACACAGGGTGCGCTAAGCCACCCTCTCCAGAAACCCCAGCACTGATGGGAAACCGAGCAACGAGAACATCACCAACAGTCCGACAGCAGCAGGAAACCTCCGAAGCACGTATAAACTAGCACCAACCCCAAATATTTACTTGTTTGATGAAAACAATACAGAAAAGCACTGCTTAACTCACTGCATTTTGTAAATGAATGTCAAACTTCCCCTCTTCCAAACACACTGCCCGAAAAGTCAGCAGAAATACCCTCCACTGCCACATGTCAGCTGACGGAATCGTGGATCCTTGTCACACAGTGTTGCATCTTTGCTAGTTCTGAATCCCTGAGGACTCAAAATACCTCCAGACATACGAATTTTGAAAGACCTGGGGACAGACTGGGGGAGAAGAGGGATAGAATAGGGCTCTGCAACTTAATTTCTATATCCATTCAACCTTTCAGCATTTCCATTCTGCATCCTCTTCCTTCTCTCAAGCACCACGAGGAGCACTTTGTTCCATTCCTTGCCATGCCTTGCAAGTATATTTTGGTTTGGTTTAAATCTCCCCCATGTTTAGGACACAGCAGCAACCCAAATATCCAGAATCTGGTACTTCTCCTTCAGGAGCTCACGTACTGCCTCAAAGCAGACACAAACACCTTTTTCAAAATTCCAATAGCAAATCGTTATTTACACATATACGCAAGCAGTTACAAACAGGCGTAAGCCAGCTGTAAAGGAACATTCATTTTTGCTACAGCCATGGCATGATTGTTGTGTTTCCACGTACTTGTAAATCTCAAGTTTCACTTGTCCATGGTCAGTACTTGTTAGAAAAAGACGCTACAATTCACCAGGCAGGTCGATGACTACTCTATTGCGTATTCATGATGTGTCCCATTGAGAACAGCTAACTCCCTGGAAAATGTTTTTGGGACCACAGTTGCTCATTCAAACAGTAACACATTTCATGCATTTTGAACCTTTCACTCGCCAATGACAACTCCTTCCTCTGTTCGCCTAGAGATACACGGAGCTGTAACAGAGCTGGAAGCCCCCAGCAGCTGCGCGCTGCCATTCAGACCCGAAAGATTCCGCGTTGGGATCAAGATCAATGTACTTTGACATCCTCTGGGACTTTTGGCATCTTGGGAACAGCTAATGACGAAATACAACCTTTTTTCAGACTATATAGCAAATTTTTGGAGTCTAGGATTAAGACGCATGTGGCACATGCCATGCCTGTCTCACGGCAGCAGTCAGGCCCCAGGGCCAGAGGACTCTGGATGTCTTCAAGGCCAGGCTGGATGTGGCTCTGAGCAACCTGGTCTAGTTCAAGGTGTCCCTGCCCATGGCAGGGGGGTTGGAACTAGATGATCTTTAAGGTCCCTTCCAACCCAAACCATTCTATGATTCTATGACTCTGCCCTCGTGAGGTGTAATTATCTCCCACAGAAAGCCTTTAGCTAAATAGACTAAATACATTTTAATGTATATGTAATTAAATAGCTACTCTTGTCTTATATTTCAGATTTTTTGGAAGACAACATCAATTAAACACACAAATCTTCTTAAAACCCATTAAGCTGTAAATGCTGCGAAATCCTTGTTTTATTTGCAGCAGAATATATTTTAGTCAGGCCTATGAGGCCACACGTATTTTACTTCCTCAGACACTCCAAAGAGCCTTCACTGCTGCTGCATCTTACGGAAATGTTTTAGGAAGACAGCACCCCAAGACTCTCCGAGCCAGCTTAGACTCGGGCACACCACAGGCTGGAAATGGGGCCGGGCTAAGCAAGTGCTGAGCAGAAAGCCACTGGCGGATCATCCATGTTTCTTCGGAAGGCGACAGCAAAAAGTGCCAATGATCCAGAGCCAAGTGGCAGGTTTGTAGATTGTAGACAGCCAAGTTATAGTCATGAAACTACGTAACAAGCGTCTACAAAAATCTTTCTCAGTAATACGTAAAAACACAATATTTTTGAGATGCAACTATATGCCAAGTTGTGGTGAACTGCCAAGCCTATCTTTATTTTAATATGGATTTTACTTTAAAGAAAAAGGCCTGATGCAGGAGGTATTTCCACGATAGATCTCCAGATGAAATGAAAGGTGATCTGGTGCAAATTTCATGATCCCTGTCTGCAGTGAAAGGGGGGAGGGGGCAAGTTTGAGAGATTTTTAATTTAAAAAATACTGGAAACAGTGTTTGGATCCACAAGACTTGACACACACTACCACAACCGAGTAATTGTATACAAGAGCTTAAAAAC